AACTTATGAAAACATTTATGAAATGTTAAAAAATGAATTCCATGAGTCTCTTGAGGTATAAACCAAAATCAGAGGAATTGAATCTTTGTGGAAACCATGAGTCCTTTAAGGTGACGACCAAGAACAAGGTAATGGTTTAAATGAATCCGATCAGATAATAAAGACTAATGAAAACATCAAGTACAAAAACAAAAGAAATAGGCATGGCATGTTTATGAATATTGCGTATGACATGTTTTATGAACTTGATAATGTCAATGAATGAAGGTCATGTCTTGTAGGTAGGTAAAGGTAAGGTCCTGAGTAACATGCTTGTATAATAAACCTTAATAGTTTATGAAAGGCCATATTCCCTTACTGAGCGATTAGTGCTCACCCCACGAATTTTTTTAAAATGTTTTGCAGGTAAGAATTGAAGCTTGAAGCTAGGAGAGGCTACTGGGGAATGACATGCGCATGAAGGAATGCTTTTGCTATGTTTTGAATTTTTGTTGTAAAATAACATCAAATGGTTTTTGGTTTATGGATGTTGAAGTAAATATGTTTCAATAAACCTAGTATGACCATTTCCTTGTCAAATGAATGAAACGGGTTAAATGATATTATATACTTATGATAATAACTCCGTAGGAAGCTAAATTTCTTGAATCATTTTATGGATATAGGATGTTTAATATCATGCTTTTAAAAAAAAAAAAAAACAAAAAAAAACAAAGACAAAACAGACAAAAGTATAGGTTTTAAACCAAAATCATTTCCTAGGCTGTCTTTTCTAGGTTCTCAATGGCCAATGGATACTTAGGAAATACCCGGCTAGGGAGGGGTTTTACAGAACCCCAACAATAAAAGTTGTCTTATAAATGTGTCCTAAAGAGAGCTCACTTCAAGAGGTTATTTGTTTGGGATGACAAAAATGGTGGATTAGATAGGTCCAATCTAATCCACTGAGTTTATATCCAATCCAATCTGTTCTTATAATCTAAAGATAGATTGGATTGGATTGAATTTTTGTGGACTATGGATCATCCATCCATAAATTTTAATATATAAGTTTAATCCAATTTTTGTATTTTAAATCAAATTTTCATAATTATTTTTGTATTTAGTCAAAATACAAATTTTCCTTCATTCTAATTTGTATTTTAATAAAATATTTAAAAATTCATTAGGATAAATATTAATCATTAGCCAACACTAATCAACCATTGTTGACCGCTGGTCAACTGCCACCTCTTGCCTAGTCTGGGTCATACTTTCCCGACCTACAGGAATCTGGTTGAATTACCATATTCTGACGCTTATTTTGGCCGCAAAAGGTGGTGAAATAGTCCACCACATTTTGCGTCACCACCTTTTGCGACCAATATTGGAGTCGGAATCCGATGATTCAACTGGATTCCTATAGATCAGCTTATTCCAGTCTTAATGGGAGAAAATTTGACACTAATGGGACAAATTTTGACCTGACCACCGCTTAACAATAGTTGACTTTCTATTTACCAGTAGTTGACCACCGCTAGTGGTGCCCAACACCATTGTCGTTTCAATTTTTTTAAATGAGTAAAATGTTCCCACCCAAAGATTAGCAAAAATCCAAGTTCCCACCCCTGGTTTCATTTATTCTAGATACCCACCATTAAGTTAACACTATTAATGATTTTTGGGTTCTGACCCAATATGGAGAATGTTATTACCAAGCTGCCCTTACCTATAAATTACTTTTTAACCCAAATAGATTTGGATTTTTTCGGCAACTACTAGGGAGGGGAAAATCGGGAGAAAAGGCTCAGTTCCGGCCAAACTGGAGGCGAACGAGGCTGGGGGAAGGATGGATTTTGTCAGGGATCAGTGGGGGAAGCTAATGGTGGTGATGGTGATGTCAAACGGTGCCAGAATCTAGCTAGATCTAGACTTTTTTGGCAACTACGAGAGAGGGGAAAATCGCGAATAAAAGTCTTAGATTCTGCCAAAATGGTGGCGGACGAGTCTGGGGGTTGGATGGGTTTTGTTGGGGATGAGTGGGGGAAGCTAGTGGTGGTGGCGGTGATGTCAAACAATGCCGAAATCTGGCTAGATCTTGATTTTTCCAGCAACCGCTAGGGAAGGGAAAATCGTGGAGAAAATGCCTAGATCCAGCCAAAATGGAGGCAGATGAGGCTGGGGGATGGATGGGTTTTGTCGAGGATGAGTGGGGGAAGCTAGTGGTGGTAGCGATGATGTCAAACGACGCCGAAATCTGGCTAGATCTTGATTTTTCCGGCAACCGCGAGGGAAGGGAAAATCGCAGAGAAAAGGCCCATATCCGACCAAAATCGAGGTGGACGAGGCTGGGGTATGGATGGGTTTTGTCGGGGATGAGTGGGGGAAGCTAGTGGTGGTGGCGCTGGAATCTAGCCAGGTTTGGATTTTTTCGGCAGCCGCAAGGGAGGGGAGTGATGATGGGTGCTTGTGAGAGAAATTTGAGATGTAAAGGGTTATTTTAAAATTTTTATTTAAGATTTAATGTAATTCAATTGACCATTTTACTCTTTCACCGTTACATTAAATGATTTTCTGTAAATTTAAGGGTAGCAAAGTGGAATAAATGAAACGTGGGAACTTGAAATTTTGCTAATCTTTGGGTAGGAACATATTGTTTACTCTTTTTAAATTTATAAAAAAAATTATGAAATTTTATTCAATGAATTAAATGTTTATTAAATTCTTTTTGTAATTTTTTTTCAATTTATATATGTGATGAGAAATTATATTGAGTGTTTGGTCGGGGTAATTAAACCTAACTTTCTCACCAACAATAGTTGCCAAAACATTGGGGGATCCGTAAGTCATTAACATCTCAGGGTGTTCATTTTTTTACCCATAAAAGAACCGCCACTACCGCATCCCGTCATCCGGCGACCTCAAATACCGGTAAGTAAACTGAGATGGCGAGAGAGAAGCTGAGACTGACAGAAGCCATGAGTGATCCCTATTATCGATACGATGCCTCCGCAGACAGAGGTTCGTTTCTTTTCCCTAGCTTTAATTTCTCAAACTCTACTTGTTCACCGTAGACTAACAGTTAAACCTTAACATTCGAATTCTTTGTTTGTTTGCCGAGAAAATGTGAGAAAATAAAGTGAAAAGTGAGGTCTAAATGCTGCCAAGACTATTACGTCTTAATATCTAATTACTTGATAGATGCTTATGCTTTGTCTAAACAAAATTCTTAATTCTTATGTATTACAAATTTGGTAGTACAGCTATTAAGATGATTGCCTAGTTTGTATTAGTAATGTGATAGTCGATCTTTAAAGTTTTTAGATGATGAAAATCGCGTTTGTAATTTTAGAATTCATTATTGTTTGTTATGTTTTACTGTTTATTAAGCCAAACATTGGTGTCTAACTGTTTTCTCTAGCTACTGTCTGATGTTTAGGTTTCTTAATTGAATTTTTGGATGCCTGATCCTAATGCTTTCAAACGTTTCCTTCCTGTTGAAGAATCGTATGTAGGTACTTCTCTTCGTCTTCTGCTTGGTTGATTAGTTCACTGTGTCAACAGTGTCATCTCTCTTTTGTTCAATTTACTTTGGAAAATTTCACCTTGTTTCTCAAGGTTGGTTGTATAAAGATATGATGGACGGGTGGCTGAACTGACTGTAGCTCTGACTGGAATGACTGAATTAACATTTGCTCATATTGAAGTTCTTGACTTTAGATGGATCCTATGAGTGCTTGTGTTCCTTTGCCTGAACCATTGCTTTTCTTACTCTAATGAACTCACGTTGGTTCAGTCTCACGTCAATGGTCCTTTGGTTATTTGATATTTTGCTACGCACATGTTGGTGCTTTATTGATAGATGGTTTCTAGTCTTCACATCTGTCTTTGTACTATTTATACCTCTTAGTGCCATGTCTTGGGAAGATTACTGCTGTTTATAATTAAGTTGATGAATAGTAGAATAACCTTGCATGAAAAAGATGTAGACAGCATATTACTGTTTTGATGTATGACTAGTTATCTTTCCTCTCCATCTTTTCCTGTTTCTAAATTGGTTTTAGCATAGATATTCCCATTGATAATCCTTTTTGTAACAGGCAGTGTTGCAAGGTCTAGCTTTCCTGGCTACTTGACTCCTAAGGCACCCTCTTTTGTTTCTCATCAACCTTTGGGCTCTAGTGATTTGCGAGTTGCTTCTGATTTTACACAGAGAGAAGTAAAAATTTCACTGTAGACAAAGTTTTTAGTTATTCTACAATTGGTGTACGTAATGAGGGGATTTCTTTTCCCTTTTGTGCTTTTACTTCCAGATAAGTGCAGTGCGGCCTTTGCCATATGGCTTGGATGAAACTGCAGGTATTGGAGTTCATCCTGAACCTGTTATGTGTGCAATCACAGCAGGAGCTAGTGTAAAGGGCTACTCATCTCCTCCACAAGATCCAAGTTTAATAGTTCAAAGACGGGATGTTGCACTAGGCATTGGTCCACCTATTCCTGGTAGGATTGAAATGCCCAATTCTTTGAGAAATGTTAATGGTTCGCCGCTAATAAAAGGAGAATCAAACATTCTGTTTGTTGATGGACTCCCAACTGACTGTACCAGAAGAGAAGTAGCTCGTATCCTTTTTTCCTATGTGTGCTTTTGTGCGTACATGTGTATGTATGTGTGCATTATCCTGTGGATGTGTGACATCTCGAGATGCCTGGTGCTTCTTTTAATTTCATGACTGGTCATTTGGATACTTCTTAGAAATGTGAAAAATCAGTACATATAATATGAGTTTTGAATTGAAAAATTTCCATCATCTTCAGGCATTGGCTCTGCTGCACCAGAATGACATATGCCTTGTGACGTAATGAAAAAGTAATGAAATGTTCCTGAAAATCCATTAATCAATTGCTTTGTTCTGTCTCCTTGACATATAATCAAAAGATCTTTTCCGTCCATTTATTGGCTATAGGGAAATCAAAGTTGTTCACAAGGAGCCCAGACATGTAAGTACAGTAAACCTATTATACTTGTTTGGAGGCAGGGCTTACATTGTCAAACTGAGAGATTCCTTTATTCATTTATGTCAAATATAGTTTCAAGTCTCAGTGCATATGGTTTATCTGGAGAATGACTGAGAATGTTATGTTCATCTAACGTCAGCAATTTTTGTGGAGGATGGAATGATTAGTGACTCTGGTTTTGAGTGTCCGGAATCTTGATGGTGGTATATTGTACCCTCTGTTTATAGCATCGTAATTAACTCAACTCAAGTTGACCTGAAAGCTATACACTGAAAATTTTACCCAACGATTTAGAGTAGTTATATGTATTCTTTGTTGCTATGTTGCTCTATTTAGCCTCACTTATTCAATTACTTACAAGCTTTTGGATCTGTCCAGGATTTGTCTCAGGGAGTATGGGGTCTGGGTTAGGTCTTTAATGCCACATCCAAAGATAATATTGAATTTTACAAAATTGATAACTATTAGATTCAACTAATGTGAAGATTTTACAATGCATATTATGGTATACATTCCAATGAATCAATTCTGGCCCATCAACTTGTCATCATTTTCTAGTTCTTGATGCTCATATGATTACATTCTGTGCTATTTCTGTTAGATTTATGTTTTCAGAGTTCTGTAATTTTCTCAATAAATAAGTGTGTTACAGAGTGGAGATAAGGCTATGGTTTTGTGCTTCGTGGAGTTCATGGACTCAAAGTGTGCTGTGACTGCTATGGAAGCTCTTAATGGTAGGGTAATACAAGAAATTATTTTGATGTTTCTATCAAATATTTTTGGAAAATTCTTTGAACTTCTCTTTACTTTCATTTAGGGACAATGGGAAAAGGATACTTCCATATGCCAGTAAATTCATCGCTAGCATACTCTTTATATGTAATATAGTTCAGTGTTGATTATAACACAACACATTGCATTTACACTTCTTTCAAAATTTCATGTTCGTTACATTATGGCAGCAGGTGTCAACTAATTTATTATTTATCTTTTACTTGCATAGGCTTAAGATAAATAGTTTCTTTTATTGGAAAAGAAACTACTCAATTGATATGCATGCTGAACTCTCGGCACTAATTTTGTTAATCAAGATTGATGCTTGAGGTTGTTCAAATGATTAATCATTTTACTCGGGAATAGATCTCTGACAGTCTGTAAATGTGGGTTTTCTCTACAGGTTACAAGTTTGATGATAAAAAACCTGAGTCCCCTACTTTGAGGATCCAATTTGCGCAGTTCCCTTTCCGTCCATCTGATGGTGATGAGCAGCGGATTGGGATTCCACGGTGAGTACTTGTGCATGGTTGGACGACAATCCATTTAGTTGGTTTGGATTTGTTATGGTATAGAAACAGCCGTCCTCATTTTGAATTGTATAGTTTTGAGCCATTCTGTGGTTTTGAGTAGCCATTCTCATATAAAATTACGTTTGGGTGATTAAATAAGCTTGTACATTCCTATTGATGCTCCACCCTTAGGCATTGGTTGGTTGCGTAAATTTATGTCCATTTCTCCCAAACTGATGAAATGGACCTCATAAATTGAAAATGCCATTTTATTTTTGACGTCCTAATTCCATCTTCAAATTTTTAATCCTTCTCTACTTTATCACATGTTTTTCCTCCTTGCCTTAATTCGTTACTAATGATGTTAAATAAAAATGATTTAAATAATCTTAAAATATTTAAAATTCACATTTGAATGCTAATTGTATGTGGCACATAAAAAATTGAAATCTTATAGTGTTTGGTTGCAAGAATATGATTGATATGAAGCCAGTCAAATGGTTGAAAATTGAAATGTTAAGAATCATGCAACATGATTAAAAAATCTCGTCTTCATCAAGAGAGAAGAGATAAGCCTAGGGTATGAAAATTGAAATCTTTAAAGCAGTTGAGTTATATAATGATCTTGCATCATGGTTTCAATTAGAATAGAAATTGGATGAATTTTGGGTATGAAAACAGAGGGTAGATTACAGTAGCAGCACTTGATATTATTTCCATGACATTTTGTGTGGATTTTTCCCAGAAGTTAAACGAATGTTCAGATTGGAAAATTCTGTGAGTTGTTGATTTGTGAATGCTGCTGTGAGTTCCATATTGTTTGAGAAAGGAGAATATTGATGATTTCACACTACACATCTGGAAAGGTGTCATTTTCATCATCCTTGTCCTCTGTGAAATATAGGCATCTTTTCAGCATTAAGTTACATTAATTATCGCACAAATTGCTTACTCATACCAAATATCTTAATAGTTTTCTTGGTAGATACAGTTGAAACAACATAAATAAACAAACAAAAACCAAGGGAAAGTGGACCTCCATGCAGTTTCATTTATCATTAATTAACAACAAATTTGCAGTGCCGGCAAACAGGGGTATGTTGACATTTTCAGAGTCTTTGATGAGATGGTTGTTTACATTTTGTTATATGGTTTTATGTTAAAAGTAGCAGTTATAATATTAGTGTTTAAATAGAGAAGACATGATTCCCCTATTTAAACTGACTCTTGATGATTGATTGCCCATTTCATGTACTGCTTAATCAAACATATTGCATCATTTTTTCAGTTATGAGAAACCTATCGAAAATTAAAATATTCATTGTTACATGTTCATTAAGTGTGCTTGTTTTAATATTCAAACAGTGAGAAGGAACTTAAACCATATAATAATCCAACTCTTAGGTTTGGGAATTTGACATCAATTGAAAATGATTTGCCCATTCTCCTCTATCTCCCATTTTATAACAGCAAGATTCATGCCAATTTGAGTGTTGATGAGTCAAATAACAGAATAATATAAGTGCAAGAATAATCAAACAAGCAATTCCAAAACAGCACTATACCTCAACATGATACAAAATGAAAAATTATTTTAAATCACCTTCTGAATCACTCTTCTTTTAGCTAAGTGGATATAATCCATCAGGTATAAAGCAAAATGTTATTATTTCTGCAACACATAAAAACTTTCCTTCAAACAGATATACAAGAACATTAGTTTGTGTTTCTGGGATCATTGTCATATATGCAGCTAAATAATCACAGAATGATAATACATAACATTTCAACATTTGACATTAACACTTATAAACCATAGCAAAAGAAGATCTCATAATGTTAAATTTCATTCATCTTTTTATTTCTTGTTGGAGTATAGAACCTAGGCTACATTGTTTGTCATCTTTGGGTATAAACTTAAAAGCTATGTAAGACTAGCAATGTTCATCAATTTGAAGGAGGGGCAAATATATATATGTAATGTTTAGATAGCCCCTTCATCAAATTAGGATGAATACACAACTATGATAATTCATTAACAAAAGAATCATATTCTCATCAAATGAACAAACACAACTCCATTCAACTATAAATATGCATTGCCTGCAAGGCCATGGTGCAAAAGATTATGAGCAATGGCATCTCTAGCCTTCATTGAGCTGGCTGACCTCAGAGGAACATCGGGGATCATCTCATCGTCAACAAGGTCAAATTTCAAGCTTCGATCCATCTCCTCATTGCTCATCTCACATATATTATGCAGCACACAACATGCCCCAAGAACCACTGGCAGGTCCTGCAATTTAATCTCTGTTCTTTTCTGCAAACAGCTCCACCTTCCTTTCAACCTCGCAAATGCATCCTTAGCAACCCTTTGAATCTCCCCGATTTTCTCATTGAAGGCATGTTGGGTCCATGTCAAATTCTGCTGTGTATAAGGTACCAACACCCAATCCAGTAAGGGATACCCTGAACCTCCAACAATCCACACTCCCTTCAAAAGACCCCCGCTTGCTCTTTGATACAAGGCAGACTTCTCCAACACCTGATCATCAGGCATCGAACCAGGCCAACCAATGCATACATCAGTAAAAACCCCTTTCGGATCCACAACACCTTGTACCGTAATCGAATACGAAGTCTTCTGATTCCTCTCAGTATGCCTCTTGTTGAAATAAGCTGCAACACTAATCTTAGGCGCTATAATAGGAATATGTGTGGTATACATAGAACCAACCGCATTTGGTATCCCGGACATGACTTCATACTCTTCTTTAATCTTCCTCAAACCCTCTTCATCCGGCCATTGTAAATACTTTGGCATTAACACACTCCTAATAGCTGTACAAACTTCAAGAACCAATTTATGACAAGTTGAAATGCCTAAACCAAACCTTTTTGACACGAGTCTAAGTGGCTCACCAGTGGCAAGTCGCCAGATACAAACGGCAACCCTTTGCCTCACAGGAATTGCATTCCGCAAAGTTGTATCTTCCTTGGCAATAACAGAATTCAGCTCTTCGCATATCATATCAAAAGTTTGCCTTCTCATTCTGAACCATTTCTTGAACTCCTCTTCTGGGTAATCAGGACTATTGCACTCATCCCACCAAGCCTTTGACCGGTCTTTGACCCACAAACGCCTGTGCTGGGCCGTGCCCGGCCCACCGCTTCCTTGCTTGACAGACTTTTGTAGATTATCTGATTCAGCAACGGCAGCGATGGTGGCAACGGAAGAGGCGAGAACGCGTGTCTTCTTTCTATTTATATGTTCAGTTTCTTCTGAATAGTAATCTTGAAGATCGGAGTAATACTCCAACATGGTTTTGGTCTTCTTCTTGTGATTTGTGTCGAAGAGTGATTTAGCTTCAGCAGAGGCTTTGTTCTGCTCTTCTTCAATGCCCTTCTCGTGTTCTTCCAACAATATCAATGAAGTAATAATACCCTTTAAGTCTTTCTTCTTCCCTCCTTCTTCTCCATCATCATCTTCGCGAAATGATTTCTTATCATGTTCAAACTCATCGCTTTTAACGCGATGATCTTTCTCATCTTTTCGCCTCCGTTTCCTGATACTATGAGTGGTTGCTGTGGTGGTGTCATTCATAATTCGAAGAAAAGTTGAAGATTGAAGCAAAAGATGAACTGTACATACAAATAGAAAAGAAGAGAAATGATGGGTTTGTTTGTTGGATTGAGAGAAGGGAGAGTTTGATATAAGGAATGAAAAAGGGGTAAAGAAAAACCAAGAAAGTCTATGAAATTGGGTTTTAACGGTGTGAACAAAGTGTGAACACAAAGATTTGGAATACGGAAATGGGGGAGGGAAAAGTTTGATAATAATAATAAAAAGCGGTCGATGAAGTTTGGTTTGGCATAAATGTCAAGGAAAATGATATAAAAGTTCAAAGATCAAACATAGTTGAGTTCAATGGATAAGTGAAAAAAAACGTGTGTAGTGTGAACACGGCAGGTGCAGTACTGCTTTAATAATGGATGATGTGGGCTGGGGGTGGTGGGGGTAGGTGCTGTTGGACGGTGACTTTGATTACGCGGATGCGGATGCGGATGGGATCTTTCATTTTTCTCAACTTCTTTTGGAATGTCTAAATTTCACTTACTACCCCTAATTCTTTTCAAAATTATTTTATTGCCGCTAGGTTAATAAACCACCCCTTTGTTGATCCTCGAGAAGGTGATGCTATGTGTTATATCTAAAAAATTTTTTTTTTTTTTTTTTTTGCAGAGGTGACCTTTCGCTAACAGCTTCCATGCGCGCAGTGACTATGCCATCTAGGGTTCCAAAGCCATCGAAGAGAACTAAGGGGTTCATTTTCCCCGGTCGACCTGACTGAGCCAGTCGAGTGACCCCTGGCAATATCCCCATAGAGGGGTACGATTGGTGGCGAAAGGCGAACATCCATGGAGCGACGTGGAGAGGCTTTTCGGCCCGTGGCTACTCACGTTGCAAGCAGAAAACCATGGGCCAGAAGGCCAAGGAGGAAACAGTCTACTTACCAAGGAAGAGTCAGAGTCCAAGCCAGAGGGCTTCGGGATGTTGCCCGAGGGATTGCAGCCTTACCAGGCTTTCCACTTGGGGGTGCCCTCGAGGAGTGTCCCTGGCACTTCGGCGGTCCTCGAGGCTCGCGCAAGAGAAAGGGAGGTCGTAGTTGCCCAAATGAGAGTGGGCAAGCAACGAGTCGACGAGGTCTTCTTCCTCTAGGATCGACCCTCATGTGCTGAATTCCACGGGCAACTGTCGAAGCACCTGCAGTCGGGTGTATACGTTGCTGAATGCCAACTTGTTGCAGCCTTCGAGGAGTTCGTGCTTCCCGACCCGCGGATCTAGCGCTATTGCACTTCAGTTGCAAAGCCGGGTAAAACAATTTGTTCTTGTCGAGGACTTTTAGTATTAGTTGATTTCCTAACTTTTATGATTTTCAAAAAAAAAAAAAAAAAGGCTAACTCTTGTTTCTTTTCTCATACGTTTCTGCTTACCTTACACATGACTAAACAGAATTGATATGGACTCTACTAGAGATTCCACGACTGAGAGAGGAGAATACCAAACGAAACAGACTTTGGGGCTCTGGACGTAGACGCGAAAGTGGTCCACATTCAGGCGAATTATACTTGGTAAAGAGAAATTTTGCCCTTCTTACAGTGACTTCCAGAAGGGAATGTCGTTTCAACAATTTCTCTCAAACTATACCCCAAATCAACCTTCACACATGCACAACACTTTACAACAACATCAACTCAATTTTATTAATTAAAACTAAATAACCCTAACCTCAAAACCCATCTTCAACATCTCTACTCTAGCCC